ACGAAACAGCTGTCGAGTGCTCCCAGGTTTCTTTTGTTCTTCCAACTACTAATGATGTCAGTCTACGATGAATAACAACTTGAAATATTACATAATACTTAATTGATTTACCATTTTCAACAATTTTCTCACCCCCTTACTGAGTTATATATCTTCTATGAACCACTCCATATATTATGTAATCTACTTTGTTATCATTCACACTTCAATCGTTATCATAATCACAAATGCCTATGTCATCATCGCTCTATTATTAATGTCATCATGATGATCATATAGTGTCTAGTTTTTCTCATGGGATATAACTTTTCAAATGTCATGTATATACACGAATGTACAGCTTGAAAATAAATTCGTTGAAAAAAAATCTCTCCGATGAATATCCTGTTCTTGAATCAATCAATCAATAGGATTATTTCAAACAGTGAACTATGTATATATTAGATATATTTTCATTTGTTTTTGGGTTGTCGGTCTTCCAACCCTACTACACGTTTCTACACGTCTATCGTATCTTCTCTGTGAATTAGTAGGGGTGGGGAATCAACTAGAAATTCGATGAACATTAGCGTCTGACACTCAATGTTCGTACATCGTTAGCTGCCATAGGCTCTTCGAAGTCATACAAATTCTTCGAACGACAAATGAAGATTATTAAGTTATTAACTCAGTCCAAATTTCCGCAGTTGAGTCATCGAATCATACGCCTGTCATATCACCCCCTTCAGTTGATGAAATTACAACCAATATCACAGAATTTCATTATGATCTAGATGCTAATGTGACTTTCTGTACTTAGTTCCGAAGATATGAAAACCATTTCAGAGTTGATTTTGCTGGCCAAGATGGTTCCTGGACGGTACATCTCTTACTTCGAAAGCTAGGTCCACCTAAGCTTGACCAATACTGCAACATGACTTCGCCACAGAATCCACGTGATCGCACTTTCGACCCCATAGTTCAGACACTGAATGACGTGCCTGCATAATATCAACTACTGGATAACCTGCAGCGTGATACGAGTTTAGCCCAATTCGGACACCAGGGTTGTTCTGAAGTACATACAGTTCGCTAGAATTCTCATTGCTCCGCATCACCTCCTGGTCTTATCTTGCCGGTCCATCGACCCAGTAATTCATGCGATAACACCCGACCTTAGAAAAAGACATTCCCCATCACCCTGCTGGCGTTGTGGTGCCTGGCATTGCGTCAAATCGTGTCCACGTAAACAACATCGATGTCGGGACTGTAATGCTGGGGGCTAAAAGGACAGCTTTTGCCACCAACACACACAACGACGTGTAAAAACGTCATCTTCCACATATAGCTGCAGACCTTATTCTCGATCGGTAGATAAATCTATTGACTTGATGGTTGGTTTTTATGCTCATACACCTGCCCGCCGAAAGAATATCGAGAAGACTACTGATCGGTGAGTAAATAAGGACTCTGTGTCGGTCAGATAAATGCAAGAAAAAGGCAGTGCGGTCCAGTCTGACGCCAAATAACATTCTTTCAAAGAGGATGGTGATATAGGGACAGAGAAAAAAGATTAGTCTGAAGAGCGACCAATCAAAAATGTATGTTATCACGTTTACAGTTAGACAGATCACCTAGTCAATAGGATTATTCTAAATAGTGAACTGTATTTTCCTTTACAAAATGTGAAAATTACCTTATTGGTTGTTTAGTGGAAACTGATTTACTACTTACATGCTATCATCTGAATAAGTTGTCATGAAATCAGTTTTGGTTGAGGATCAAAATCAACTGGAGAACTAGAGAGCCCTGGACATTTATTTCCCCGTGCATTAAGCTGTCACAATAAGTGCGTTACCAATCAATCACTGGGTACGAATCTAATACTCAACATTTTAGTATGTGTTAATCTGTGGTCCACTGTGACCTTGACCTTAAACACAATCTAATGTCATTGGTCAATATCCTCCCAACCCCCGATTTGGTTGACCACGGTAGCCATTACTTCTCAATAGGACTTAGAAATGCATCTCAGACTAAACCGCCAATGACCACTGCAAACTTCATGTACAACCGTAGACCACTATGATGAAGTTTTCCATTTACCACCGAAATCAACAAGAATAAAAGTTATAACAATGGACTGGAGAAATAAAAAGGAATGATTCTTCAAGGCCGAAAGCGGTACACTAGTAGATATGCCTAGAAATATGGGTTATACTAAACTTTAATGGCAGCCAATCACCTTTGAGTATTCACTGACCAATCAGAATCGTGCATGTGAGGAAAATTGGTATTTTACTTACAATTTTTAAAATCTGTCTTGCATGAGAAATAAATATATCTAAACTTTTGATAGGTTTATCATTTTGAAAATAGGACAATGATTTTTTTCGAGAACCAGATGAAATCCTTTGAAAAACAATCCTGTTCTCAAAGATTATTTGATTGAACAGCCCGGACAATGGAATATGAAAGCATATCTTTTCTCATTGTTCCACATGCTATCCATTACAATAACATACTCAAAATTTGGACTTCTGAAAAGCAATTCAACTCTCTATAAGTAGCCAACAATACAATTTCCTTCTTAATTTATAAACAGCCAGTGGAGTGCCAACAACACAATAAACAAACGTTAAGAAATGACTTTCAATACAACATCTCCATCCTGATTACTGTATAGTGCATCTTCTTGGCACCAGAATACAACTAGGGCTAAAATAAATAGATTATTATTATTTGTCCTTTGGGTTCCTAGTGGAACATAGGACTTTAGTAGCACGTCTCCATTACACTCACCTGTCGCTAATCTTTTCAACCTGGCTCCACTACTGCCCATAACCTCTCATTTCTTCCTCACACCATCTCCTACATGTCACCTTCAGCTGGGACGTCCAACTCGTCGTTTGCCACCTGGGTTCAACTCGAGTGCCTGGACTGTCACGTGATGTTCCTAGTCGGTCTTCTCACTGTATGCCCAATCCATCTACACTTCCTGAATATTTGTTGAGTGATAAGTTCTTGCTTCGTTGGTTCGTTGACAGTCAGCCGGAGTTCCTTGTTGCTTATTCTTATTATTCTGGCCATCTGAGCTTCGGTGACGAACCAGAGTAGGCGGCAGTTGTTAATGAATATCTGTAATTTGTTAGAAACGTTTTTCTAAACCATAAAGAAGCACTGACTTACTTGACTTAGTGTTGAAAATCCAGATGATGTTCACCATCTCCCGTTGATGGTCATTGGAGCTTGTTGTTGTTGGTTGGTTGGTTGGGTATCTTCATCACCTACCTCCGTCTTCTCTATAATCACTTGAAGTCCTGTTTTCGCTGCCCTGCCCTATCCTGCCTCCTCTGTCAACTTGTTAGTTTTTGCCTGTAGATCTTCAAGTTTGCATGATATTCGACACAAGTCGTCGACGAAATCTTCTAGGTTCTTTTCCCCGGTTCAGCGTATACCCCTATTCTTGCTCCTCACAGTTTGTTGCATGATCTAGTCCACTACAATCAGGAATATCATGGGTGATAGTAGACAGCAACCCTGTTTTACTGCTGTCTTCACTTCGAAGGCATCAATGAGCTTCCCATTGTGAATTACTTGACATGTGGTGTCTTCATGCAGCTGTTGAATGAGGTTGATAAAGGTTTGTGGTATTCCGTAGTATTGAAGCAGTTGCCAAATTAAATTAACTGAATAAACCTTTAGTTCGCCTCCTGATGCCTCAGATGTTTTAAGTTATATTTTAACGAGCATACATCCTAACAGGCTTCGGCACCTTTTTGCGCTACCTTTGTGTTGGTTAGCACTCACATACTCAGAGTCCCTAGTTCAGCCATACTAGCCAGATAAGCTGAATAAACTTTTCACCTATTCATTACTATCATATTACTTCTTCGAATGTGTTCCAGAAACCAGTTCTTTTGATCTGTCTTTCCTTCTGAGTACTTACACATTAGGTAAGGTACTGGTTGAGCAGGTGCTGGAGCACATCAAGTTAAGTAGGGTTGGTCAAAAGTTTTGGACTAGTAATACAGTCGCTACAATTGGTGAGCCCGAGTATCACTTCTTACTGTCTCTAATACTTTTTTTCTTATTGTGAGTCGATTTATCTGGCCTATTTTTTGTTTTTGGCACGGTTTTTCGTTTTTTTATTGAATTCCTCGTTGGTTTTTTTACATTGTAATTTTCTTATTATCAACTTTGTGCCTTATGATACCCTTTATCAATGGCTGATAACAACGACTCTACTGAGCAGATGGCCATAACCCTTCAGCTTCCCACCCTCTAGGTTCATAGACCATTCGCATGGTTCTCCCACGTGGAAGCTCAATTTGCCTTGAGGGATATTCACTCACAGGAAACTAAGTCCAACTTAGTTATCGTCAGCTTTCTAGAAAATGTAATCGGATGTAATCAGACCTGTTAGTCTACCAATCACCAAACCGCCCTCATCAAATGCGTTACACTTACTGACTAGCAGAAGGTGTAAGAACTTTTCAGGGATGTGCATCTTGGTGATCGTAAGCCCACGCAACTGCTTAATCAGATGAAGCAGACTTCAATAGTTATGAAGCATTTCTCAAGCAACTATGGTTACACAGACTACCAAATTCAAAACGTTTCCAGTCAGTAAAGTTTAGATGAACCCATATTTTATAAGTAGAATGTAATGTATTTGACCTTAATGCTCATATGCCTTATTTAAGATAATTCCAGGACCTAGTATCTGTGGTAATGTAAACAAAGCCTAACTGATGAAAGTTAATCAGTACGAAACTTTGATACCCCAGATAAACATAACTACCTTGAACTTACACTTATCGAACGCATCACGCTCTGATGTTATGTTAACAGGTGTATCCATGGAGATTACTATATTCCCTAGTGATATCAAGGTTGACGGGAGATGAGAACGAATCTATACCACCAACAGCCATTATATAAAATAAACAAATATACAGAGATGTTTTTTTGTCATATGAATTGTTGATATATGTTTAATCAGATGATAAATGACTCACCTTGACGTACAAATACTTGGTTGACATCAAGCAACAGATCACATCCATCTACAATCATACGTTCAATAGCCAAATTTTTGCGTATATTTTCTGTCTCACTGACCTCATCGTGCATAATCTGTTCACAATAAGGATATAATAACCGTACAAAAAATAGCAGACGATGAGTGTTTAGTATAGTAAAAATGTATTAAACACTCTTTATGAAGTCTGCACTGATTAAGTTAACTAGTCTGATATCGAGACGTTTGTGACAAGTCATCAAATTTTTAAGGATAAATATTATTTATTTTGAAGGTTTTTTTTAGGAAACTAATTGCTTCTAGAAGGGTTTCAGTAACGAATTGTCACCAGTCAGATGAATGATGGCAGCTTATTCGGCTGTGAGGACAAAACACCTGCCGATGGCAATGTATGATGGTTAAACTATGATAATGAGTGAATTCCTCCTAGAGGTCATGGGTGTAAGCTGTTTAGGAGTCCCAAAGTAAGATAAAACAGTGGTTTAGTGCTCATAGGTTCAAAAATGGTTCCAGAACTGCTGTCTATCTGTGATGAAATCTAAGTGAAAACCTCTCAGTCCCATAGTTCGATCTCAAATGTACTCATATTTATTGTACTTATTCCTACATGAACATCATTATGGCTATAGCGACTTGACGTTTTGGGTATGTAGATGGAAACTGATAACATGAATAACCTATGGAGATCTGGATATTCAGCGGAACAATTAAACGCTAGAAAAGATTGATGGGCTTTCATTAGCAATGAGGCTGATGAAAAGCCCGGTACTGACCATAAAACGGCAGCCAATTCAGAGCAAACTCTAAATTTCCGTCTGTGATTGGATCCAATTAATCGGCCACCTCTGAGCTGCTGTGAAGACGCTTTGATATTGATGATGAATACTGGCTTGCAGTAGAATCTACCAAGTGTCTTCCATCCCATATGATATTCGTCCGCTGATGTTATTGTTCCCGCTGAGGCTGATGGTCAGGACCAATCGCTTCAAACATCAGAGTGTTATCTACAAAGCATCTGAGTCATTGTGAACTATCCTTGCACAGCTTCTAAATATCTATAGGTGATCGGAGCGAATATATGGACCGGCAATATCGAAGTTTACCCCAGTAGTGGCCAGCCGTAGAACAATGAGTGGCTACCACGACTTAGTTATCTAGTGGATAACTCTCCCTTATCTGAAGTGATTGGCCCTGAGCTCAAGTCCTGATGGGCACAACATTTCCCACTGGAAAGTAATCATATCCAGCTGGTGATTCCTAAGCAGGCCGAAACGTGCACGCCTGAATTCCACTAACCAAAAATAATATCAAATTTCAAGTAGACATAGTTCACACTGCAGAAAGAAGACTACATTAAATACTCGAGGTACCGATAACTAGTCGAATCCGTTCCATATCATTCTATTCTTATAGTAGTTTCCTTGACAGTTAGTGACGCCTATTAACAAAGATTAGTTTTCCAATTAGGAAGTGAAGCAAGTGTAAATGGGTGTAAAACTTTTCACTTTAAACGAAGACTGAAGGAACTAGTCTTACGCAAAAAATATATTACACATGTCAAGGTTTCAATATCATTGGAAACCACTTACATTGTAACGATCAATTTATAGCCTTAAATATTTAGTCCAAGTAAGTAGTGCACACAAGTGATTTATTTGAAAGACAACTAAGACGTCGGACGTTATGAAACGAATTTTAAAAAACCCATTTATATCCGAAACTCCACGAAATTTATTCTTTGATGATGTAGTTTAAAATTTGACGCTTTTGCAGAAAAAATTGAAAACACTAGACATTTGAGATGAAATCCCTCAACTTTGACTTTTTTCTAGCCTTTTACACCTAGCAGAAAGGAAATAGGCTTATCCGTAACTAGTTAGGCGACAGCAACGAGTGTTTAAAGGTCAACTTACCAGTCCATAAAATAACCAATCAGGTTTCTTTATTTTGTGGTACAGTAAACTATTCAACCTTAATAAATAAACCTCATTGGTCATTTCAACTTTTAAGCTAACATAACAACAATAAGCTTGAAGAGTGGGTTTAGTCATTAACAAATAACGTGCATGACCTTGAGGTGCCCATCAGCCAATCAAATTTAAGATGACTTAAATGCGTTATCTCTATACTTTGAAGATTTTGCTTTTCGAATGTTTTTTTCCAAAATACGTTACTATTTGATATTGTAACGAACTGGAAAGTTACACTCGCACTGTCCTAGGTGGTGTGATGAACAAACTGTTGGGAAATCCTTCAAACACGGTGTTCAATAAGGATATCGTAATCACTTTCAACGTTTCTTTATATACTGCTGAAATCTAGTCATATAAGTAGCTCCTACTACAATGATGTGGATAGTCACGGGATAGAATTAATTGGTTAGAAAAGTGAGTGTTTTGTTCATGTTGAATAATTCATGATGAGACAGTCTTTGACGTTTTTACATGTAAGATATTTCGGATGAAGTGAATACTGTCTTCATTTGTGGAACATGAAATATGCATCTTTTCGGGAGTATAATCATCATGAGATAAGTAGTAGTAACTTTGTGACACAGTTCCTACATTTATTAGTGATCTTAATATACTGACAGTGACTTCAATTAAACTTTCGATGGGATGCGTAAAGTTCAAGCAGAGATGTTTAAGAACTGTTTAACCTATTTTGTCACCGGTTAGGTAATATGCTGTGAGTTATCGATTTTTCTTATCTTCTCAGTAAGTCACACTGTTTTGAGGTAAGTACAGATGAAGCAGTATTACTCTTTGAAATCCTCTTTGCTTTCATGTCATCCTTCATAATATGGGGAATGACGGGCAGATGATGATGATGACCAAGCCTAACTGATGATCTAGCTGACTCCCTGGGATTGGAATGAACTGATCACACTGTCAAAGCAGCCATATACACACACGTACGCATTAAGAGTTGAGTGTAGAGAGATGTTGCTCTCTTTCTTTAGCTATGTAGTTCAAAGATGTACTCCTTGTTCTTGCATCATCATCTGTTTATCATGGAGATACAAAGTGATAATTACACATCCCCGGGTAATGAATACCTCCATGTGCGATGATAGCCAAAATGAAGCTTACTTCAGTCTAGGGGTTTGTGGATATTTAACTGGTTTCATGGTGGTATTCACCACAAACTGACATCATTTGGAGAACCATTAGAAACCTAAGAGCACTGGATAGCTGTTCCGTCCTAGCATGGGGCTCTTCAACAGTGCGAACCCGTGACTCTGTTGCGGATTGTATCCAGAGCCTTTACGTCTCTCAGTGAGCAGGTTATTTTGGTTAGGCTGAAGGAAATCACCACTTGGCACCATTCGTGGAAGGTTCAGCTGTTGATCTCATTTGTGTATAGAGACGTAGGCTACTTAACTAAAGATCATTGAGACAACACGAATCAATGAAAAGAGAATTTTCGTGACATGGCTCAAGTTCGGTCACCATAGCATAGATGTATACACTGTCATTCAGCTTCAAAATCTTGGATATTTTTACCAGCCTTCATTTGTTTATGACTTTTTCCTCCATACACATTTACCTACTTAAATGTCATTTTTCCCAACCAGTTCTTTTTTGTATACTGCTGTGAAGTGCGTCAAACTGAACTAATGCAATCCTGCGGAAAACTCCGCAATGGTTTGTCGATTTTTGTTTCATATTACGGTATGGTTAGGTTAAACCTCATTGGATGATTTTGTCCAAAGTTGACCAATCAAAATAAGTGACTTGGGATAGAGCGAAAAGTGAAGTCTGGAGAGCGACCAATCAAAATGTACTTTATGTCTAAAGTTAGACAGACAGACACTGGATCAGCCAATCAGTAGGACTATTCTAAACAGCAAAATATCTATGTATTAGCTTTATTTTGGGTTGTCGGGTTTTCGACCCCAATAGACGTTACTATACGTCGTATGTGTCTTCTCCGTCAGTTGGTCGGGTGGAGAATCAACTAGGAATTGGTTGAGCATTGGCTGCTGACAGTCGACATCCGTGCTCCGTTAGCGGCCATAGGCATAGCAGTTTTCAAATCGTAACAATAAAGTATCCAACTTCTGACCTAGTGGTTTTATATATTGATGAAAACTGTATGAAAAGATGTAATCCTTCTCAAATAAAGAGTCATTCTTACAGTCGTAGTCACGTTTTTGTCTTCTGATTTCCTTAGCTGTGTGAAGTATACGGTTCTGAAAGAGAACAGTGGCTATTTGTATCCACTTTGAATGTCTTATCACGTTGCTATCGTTCGCGTATTCATTTAATTCACTTGATCACTCCACTACCCTACATTTTGAGTGACTTTGAAGGCTATCCTGGTAGCTTATAAAGTTATTTCAGTAGCTGTCATTTCGCTTTCTTCATAAAGTTTTAGTTTCTGTTCACCATACTAATTTTCTCACTGTCTTAGAGAAATATTCTATCGCATCAAGACTCGATTTCGATCAAAATATTTATACACTGAACATCGGAGGTGTCAGCAATGACAACCGAAACGAAAAATGACTTATTCATTATTATTATTTGTCCCTTCGGTTCCTAATGGAACATAGGGATTCAGTAGCACGCCTCCAATGCGCTCTATCCTCTGAAATCTTTTGAACCTGGCTCCACCACTAACCACAACCTTTCATTTCCTCCTCGCACCATCTCCTCCATGTCACCCACACCTCCAACGCCCAACTCGTCGTTTCCCATCTGGGTTCCACTCAAGCAACAGGCCCGAACTGGCGCGTGATGTCCCCAATCGGCCTTCTCAGAGTATGCCCAATCCATCTCCACTTCCTTCCAGTGCGTATTCGTTGAGCGATAGGTTCTTACTTAGTTGGTTCGTTACCAGCCAGCGAGCTCCTTGTTGCTTATTCTCATTATTCTGGTCATCTAGGCTTCAGTAACGAGTCAGAGTAGGCAGTTGTTGATAAATGTCTGTAGTTTATTTGAAATCCCTTTCGTAACGAGCCAAGTCTCTGAACCATACAGAAGCACTCACTTGACTGAATTGGTGTTGAAAATCCAGATCTTGTTCACGCTTTGTGCTGAGTGCAGATCTCCACACTGGTTTCAGGTTAATGAAAGCCTGTCTTACTTTT